ATTTGGTGAATTCCAATAATTCTTATGTCCGTTCAATCAAAATTCGAGCAAGAGTTGTTTGTGTGTTACGAACAAGACACTTTCATTATCATTCATGTTTCCGTTCTGTCATACCCACATCCAAATCAAAATTCTTAATCTATTATATACATCAATTGTGACATTTATGCATTATAGATGGACCCCTAACCACAATCAAGTATTCCACTGAACTTTATTAAAAATGACATTTCACAGGATTTTCCTCCTCATCCAACCCCTACATTTTTCCTATTCATTTCATTGAGCCCCTTCTCCTTCACCATTTATACTTTTTTATTTATTTATTATTATTATTATTATTTTTTTTTTTTGGCATTCTTTCCTTTCTTCGCTTATCTCTCCGTTCTTCTCTAAGCCCAAATATGATTTTGACTTGAGGGATCAAATGTTCGTTGAAATCTAACTTTAGTTCCTTTATTGGACGTTCTAAAATGTAACATAAAATTCTAGGAAAAAATCTTGTTTTCACGACAAATATATCTCGAATCTTGAGAAGTCAAAATCAAATAAGTCCATGTTTGGTTTGATTAAAAATCAAATTTTTAATAGGTGTTGATTAAAGTTGATAAAATGTGTAGTTAAAAAGTTAATAAAGTTATGAATCCCATAAAATATATTATTGAAAATTAATTTGAAGAGAATGAGTTAAATTACTTGTAAGAATTTATTTTGGTTTTTACTTGTAAGAATATATTTGGTTTTTGAAATATGAGTTTTGATTCTTTGAGCTTTCATTGAGAAGAAAACTTGTTCGTGAAATTTCGCAAGTGTACAGATCGTGACAAGTAATAAAGTGGATTTATTAAGTCCGAATATCATCCCACAGAGACTACTATATACTATAAATTTTTTAACTAACCTAACTTCAATTTAAATTAAAATAGTAATTAATGATCAAATCGAGTTTTGTTTTCTAAACGAAATTCTAATAAATAAAATAACAAACTATTAATTAAAATAACAAACTCAAATTAAAATTGTAGAAAAGATTATGTGATTGAATAGTTAGGATTTTCGATTTCACTTAAGTTAATTATCATACATTTAATTCCANGACGCCATTGTTAATGCAAACATGACCCCTGCAAATATCATTATATAAAGGAAAGATGATTGAAAATATAATTGGAACCAGTCAACTATGTGAACGATTGAATGTAACTCTGTCAACACAAACATTGTTGGAATAAAGCCACTTCGTTGGACTAAAGAAGCAACAATATCTTCACCATTTTGCTGCAATTGTTGACTTGGGCAAGTTGCATGGATTTAATGTTGAAGAAAAAAGCATGCAATGTTGGTAGAAGTTGGCAGCAATTTCTTGTGTGCTGAATTTCTACACTACAATTAAATTCACGTGGTGATATTTGCCTATAAATATGGGCAAAAGCTTAAGGAAAAAGGGATCAAGCCGTGTAGAGAGAATATTGTGAGTAGAGGGATAAAAT